CGTATCTCTCAGCATTCCCGGCGAGACATTCGCGAAGAATGCCGTCTGCGTCTCGCAACGGATGGAGACGCCGCAGCGGCGGGCCGTCGAGATTCGCGCGAGAAACGCCCACGCGGCCCCAACCTCGGCTCTCATTGTCCGTAGTGCTTTCTTCAGGGCGATTCGAGTGATCCTCATTTCGAAATTGTCAGCAATTAGACCGCGCTTGAGACGAAGAGGAAACGACGAGCGAGCCAATGAGAAACGCAAGTCGGAGTCATTGGCCTGGCGAACTTTGCAAGTCAGTGGCATGCGCGACCAAATGGCCGAGCACTGTCCCAAATCTCAAATTGCATTGAATTGCTCAAATTGCACTGATCCGTTTGCTCGTTTCTTTTTGGATTTGTATATTTAATAATCTCGTAACTATTTCATTCGACCTTGTATATTGCACAAACAGCTAAAACCCGTGTTAATAGTTGTCACCTGAAACTTATCTCATGAGATATTGAGACCCATAATAGTCATTACTTGAAATCTCATCAAGTGAGATGCTCAGATTTGAGTTCAGAATTTGGTGAAGAGTTCTTCAGTTGAATCGCGATTGCAGATATAACGCCGTATCATATAATTTAACTGAGAAACTTGGACTTAACTCTGAATAAAAATTTGAGTGTTTCACACATGAGAAAATTTTCAGGTAACAGCTATTAATACGAGCCTTAAAGTTGGATCCAAGTTTTACAATTTAATTATGACATGTGTGACACATTTGCATCTGTGTAATTGTGCGACTCAATTGGAAAATTTTCATCTAACTCTGAGTTCAAATCTGAGTGTCTCACTTGAGAAGAATGTCAAGTAATAATGTTTAATACAAACTCGAGACTTATCGATCTTCACGGCGTCGTCGAGAATCGACGGTCTGATCGACACCTTTACTTTCACGACGCAAGGAACAATGCGACGGAATCAGAACAAAACACGCGAAATTAGCACGTAAACAGCGTAAGATATTGCAACATGTGCGAATGTTTTCAGCGATGGTACGAAATGGAAAGCTTAACGAAAATATACAGATATTCTCGAGCATCGATAGGATCGCGATATCTTTGTCGCCCGTTATCGTCTCTTTATCGTATTATGTTTACCTTCTCACGCGAGAAAATACAATTTAAATTGTTATCTCGAAACCAGTAGATATTATCGCTGTCTTATCGAAAAAGTAATCCGATTGTCACCTGATGCGCTTAATAAACTTTCAACGCGTCGTCTATCTTTAACGCAAGCAAATAAATATATGGCAACCGAATTTTCAAACAGATATTTTTCGCGTTTCGCATTAAATAAATAAAAAATCCTTACGTATATACGTGACGAAAAAAATATATCCTAATTTGTATGAAATATTTAGAAAAGAATCTATTTTATATCTGAAGCTTGAGAATTTGCTGCTACAGTCAACAAAAAATCTGTCATATTTTATTATCCAAGATGCAGACTACTAAACGATCTATTAATCATTTATTATATTTAAGATTAAACGATTAAAATATTCTTTGACGAAAAAAATCGGCAAATCAGCAGTCGAAATTAATTAATCGTCACATATATAAAATCGCAAATATAATCTCATCCATGGATAAAATTAATTATCAATTAGTTGGATATTCAATCGCATAAAAGTTTGATTGACAATTAATTTCATTAAACGAAACTATTTGCGATCTTATACATAACGATTGATTAATATTAATCACTGATTATTTCAGTCAAAGAAAATTCCGATCGACTAATGTCCAACACCGCTATTGATATTGCCACGATATCACGTTGATATATTCAACGTTATTAATAATAACAACTTGCGTTGCCAAGCTCAAAGGACAGCTAGGTATTCAACAACAAAAAAAAGAAACAGATATTTGCTACTCTCGTCGGAAGTTATTTACGACTCGAGCTGATAATTCGCGAGAGCGATAACCACTGTATTTCTCAGTGTCTGGTTTATCTCTCGATCTCCGATTAATAGCAAGTCGCGAGAGTATACTCCGATGGGTACGGGAACGGCCGCGATTCGCACGAACAGGTGCGGAGGAAGACGCCATAGGGGAAAACGCCCAATAGTCGACGCTCGTTACAGCACTCACAAGTTTATCCGGACTCTCGCCCTTGCCCGGAGATCTCATCATCCAATATCAATGTGTATAGTGATCTATTAATTATTCATTAATTTATTAACAAATTAATTCTATTTTTATTTTCAACTTCAGCTTTTATATTATAGTGCCAAGAAGAAGTTTTTTTGTCTTTTATACATTTTTCCTATATACGCCTTTTCTCTTCATTTTTCCTTTTTATCGCATCTTAACCTACTTCCTTTTTCCTTTTTGCCTTATACACTTTCCTTATTCTAGGTATATCTTAAATCTATACTGGCAAATTCCATCCTTTTGGATTTTTCTTTATCCTTAGATTTTTTATCCTATATCCTTGGAGGTTTTGCCAAGCCTACCGAGGGGAGTGCGAGCGTACGAAAATTTTCCTCTTTCCTCTAAGAATCGAACCTGGGCCTCTAAGCGTGATAGATTAGTGTATAGTCCACTGTGCTACGCTCGCACTTTATTAACAAATTAATTATTTGCTAATTGTTCTGCATTATTATTTACTTATTCGTTTCCTTTTAAATCTCCACACACGCTGAGAAGAGGATTTCGTTGTCGAAACGGAAATTTGGTACATCGGACCAAAATCTGTTTGGTGATTGCAACCGAAAATTTTAATTGCACGAAAAGGAAACAATGGTTGTGCCGACCAGAAAAATAATAAAATATGGCATAGCTTTCCTTTTTGGCTTCAAGGATCAATTCTTGATTGCGCTGATCTATCGATTCGTTGCCTCAAAAATGCTTTTTTTCAGGCAACGAATCGCAGTGGTAATGAATAATGTCGCATATGTCAACGTAACAAAAAATTAGTTACTATTAAGCTGGAAGTAAAAACTGTGCCATATTTTACTTATTTTCTAGTTGACCTAACCATTCTTTTTTTTCGTGTGCCGCGCCTGTATATTTTGCTTTCTCACTGATACATCCTACTTGACGCAAGTAAAAAGTGGTGATGCCAAGCAAATCGCGTGTGTCAAACATTTGAGTTCGAAATGCAAAAGTTCAATTTTTTTCAGTGCACCTTAACCCTTTATCCACTGTGATTCTGAGATCATAATCCAGTTTCATCATTATTCACCTTCAATATGAATGCTGTTGCTATCTTGTTCTATGTGACATGAAAGTCACAATATGACTGCCTAACGTAATCTCAGAGCCACAAACTTATTTTAGGAAGATGAAAAATTAGAAAAATAAAATTTCACTCTTATTTTAGGAAGATAAAAAGTTAGAAAAGTAAAATTTCACATATTATGAGTTGAGTACTTTAGTTTTAAATATCCTATGTACACGAAAACTTATTTAAACATGAGAAATAAATTTTTGGACAGTAGAAAGTTAACACCCAACAACATTCGCGCAAGAGTGCCTAAAACGGATAGAGTGCCGACTACTAGACGTCTCCCGTCGATTCCCGCACCTGACATGAAAACCGCGGCATTCGGCACGGAGAGGCTTGGGATGATATTCGCGCGTGTCGTGACTCGTGTAGACGGTGGAAGCACGTCTGGCGAATGTCTCTCGTGTTGCTCTCGTTGCACCGGCATTAACCTTTGTACGGCTACGTGCCTGTGCGACTGGCCGGCCGTTTCTCCCTCCCTCTTCCCTCTCTCTCTTTTTCTCTCTCTTTACGCGAGCGTCTCGCAGAAATAGAAACTGGATTGAGTCTCGATTCCCGTTCGCCTTGACGCCCTTAATCGGCCGGTATTAACATCAGGATTTGTCTCACAAGGAAATCTCGCGAGTTCTCCCTGTCAAGCGTCCTTCCGCCATTAAGTGCGCGGCGACGCCGAGTGTCTCCACCTTCTCTCTTACATATTTAATTAACGATCTCTAAGACCTTCAACGTATTCAACAGAGATCTCGATCAATAAGCTGCGAATTAAGGAATATACTCGAGCAATGATAGAGCCCTTAGATAGAATTAAACTTGTTGATTCATAATATCAAATTAAATCGGTACACCGAGCGTGTCATAATTCGAAGAAAGATTCGGAAGATAATAAAATCGCGTAGGAGTCTCGCAAGCTCAACGTTCGCAGAAATCGTTCTACGTGTCGGCGCTTAAATCTTGATGTATGACTCACGCGATGTAATCGTGAAAAACACACGCGTGCACAACTGGATCACTCGAGTCACGCCTAACGCAAATGATTTCTCCCGTTTGCGCTCCAATTTTACACCGTGTCATTAAGAGGGAGAGGAGGAGAGGGAAAAAGAGAAAGAAAAGACAATAATCCGATCATCACGACGATGACCGATCGGTAATGCAGTTGGTGCAAGAGAGGAGAAAGAGGAAAACGAGGAAAAGGGAGCATATGCGCCTGATTATTAGAGATTTTTTAAAAGCAATTGCAACAGAACTCGTGCACGAGTTATACAGTACGCTCTCGTTATCAGGTACAAACTAGTCGCTCAAGGTCGAATCGATACGATGTACCGACACCGAAAATTCCCGGTGGATCGATAAAAAAAAAAGAAACCTGTTTCGTTAGTACACAGGAAGTTTCTCTTCCCTTCGTGAGAGTTCATGACACACACACTAGCATACTATATTCACTCGCAATCGCGTCGGATCTCAGCCGGCTCATAGAGCGACGCCATTTTAAAAGCGAGCGATTCAAATGTGCCTCACAGTCCGGACACGAATCGCACCCGTTTGTCCGTCTCGATATCGCACCACCAGGTCGTCGAACCGGTCGCGCACAGGGAGAAAGGCACACAGAGCTAGATTGTATGTGTTATGGCGACTGTCAAAAGGGAGAAAATCGACGGGCGAACGGAAAAGCCAGCGCAGTACGAATCTACACATACACATGTGTGCGCGCGCAAGTAAAAGGAAGAGGAGCATACCTGGTCTTGAATCTTTGCGTGTCGTCCTGGCCGGCCCACATGTTTCCTTCCCCCGGAGAAGATCAACCGGCGCGAACGGCGAGAGAACTCTGCTGTCTGATAACCTCAAAGCACCACGGAGCGATCGGGAAATTCTCTCCCTCTCGTGTGAATTGTCTCTTGCGACTGAGGCGTACGCGCGTGCGTGAGTGCGTGCACACACGAAATTCGTACCGGCACACGCGCCAATGACGACGACGACGACGACGTCAAGCTGGGTCAAGCTGGGTCACGCACTCTCGCGTTTCCTCCGTTCGTGTGGCTTCCGCGCGTCGCGGAGAACGGGCCAAAAAGGAGCGGGGCACCGGCTGGGCCGGCTGGCTGGCTGATGCGAGCGAGAAAGCGGAATATAAGGCCCGCGCAAGAGAGGAAGGAAAGAATGAACGGACGTCGCGAGAGAGAGAGTGGAGGCGCCACCTCCGAAAAGTCGAGAAACTCACGCGAGAAACGGAACAGGGGAGCAGTAGGAGATGAAGGAAGAACGGGAGAGAAAGAGAGAGACCGTAAGCACACCGAGATCCGCACCGCTGCCGTTGCGCACGATCACGAAATACTGATGGCGCTGAATCGGCGCGGCGAGGTGCGGCGCGAAGTTGCACGCGGACGGCCGACAACTTCCGAGCGACCGAGTGAGTGAGCGAGCGTGCGTGCGAGAGAGAAGGAGAAAGAGACAACGGGGCGAGGCGGCGCGCCGATCGCAACTGCACACGGAGCCTTAGGTTTGGGGTGAGATTCAAAAAAGACTCCCTCGGATCGTAACACGCGATGTCACACGTGACGGTTGGACAACGTACAACGCGTCACGTATAGGAAGGAAAAAGAAAAAAAATAGTCAATACTTTCTTTCATAATGTGTCTGTCTCCGTCGCTGTGGAGATAAATGCAAAACATCTTTTTGCTCGATTTAGCACGGTCGATGTGATTGAAATCGGCGGGCTGAGAAGAATGAGATTGAAATTTGATTAAAATCCATTGCTCCCCGGCTCTATTGTTAATTGACTCCAAGTACCGAAGAATGCGAGATAAAGGGGAGACGTGTCTCGTTGTTGTTAGTCGTACAACAACAACAAGCGCAACATTGCGTACGCTGGAGAAAGAAGAAGGTAAGAAAAAGAAAGCGCAGCAGGTGCGCGTTGCAAGCAACTTTGCGAGAGCCCGAGTATACATTGGGTCTTAAGCGCCTACGGGTACAGCGAGTAACCACGAGACTCTGCCCTTAGGCTCATCGTCAGTCACGGACACCGGATAATTTTCTCCTGGGAATGCACGCTAAAACCGGGCCAGCGACAGCGGTTATATTTATCTTACCGACCGTGTCGCCGTTTCCCGTTCTTCCTTTTCTGTGTAAAATCTCGTGTTTACTTAAAAATACGCTCAACCCACTTTCGGCCCTGGTCAATGCGCATCTTTTGAATTTCACCGATTTACATATATTTCTGCGAATTGTATATACCTTTTTTTATAGATTTCTTCGCGATTATTATAAATACCGCGTAAAATGTCATTATGTCGTCTATCTTCAACGACTGCTTTTCAGAATTTGCAGTTGTACCTCTCGTTAACTTTCCCTTTTTTTTACTTTAGATAAAATATTGAACAGTAAATTTTAGAGAAAACGCGCTGATCGAACTTTAAATAAAAAATTCGTGAAACTAAGAACACTTAAAGGAAACTAAAATCTACTCCACTGTGACAGAAAAAAATATATAAGAAATAAAAAATATTTTATATTTTGATATAAGTATATATAATAACATATTTACTTATACTAACATAAAATATTCTTCAAATAAGAAAATATACATTTTCCTAAAATATTAACTTTTCACGAAAATAATTATCTATTCTATTTAAATAAAATAACTTAGATTAAATTTAATAAACTATTACAAATTAAATATATTAAATATTAAATTAAGTACAAAAACTTAGAATTTATTTAATTAATTAGTTAATTAGATGTTATTAGTACCCATCGAATAAATATTTTTTATTTTTTAGATATTTTTGTTCTGAGTGTGGAATTTAAAGAAATTTGAGATGTGATATCTTATTGGGAAGTATCTACGCGTTGACACGATAACTAACCGACCGAAGAAAAATCTGATCTCGTTATCCCATCGCAAGATGTCTAATTACCAGACATTAAGGACAATCTCAAACATTTTTTTCTTCAGAAACTGCTGTGTACGTCTTGCGCTCGAATCTGCAACCGTAATTTTGCCGCACGTGTTCTTGGCAATAATATCTAAATTTAATTATATTAGAGATTTAATTTTGAATATTTTTCGAGTGTACACAAGCGAAGCCGTTGTACTGTACGAGTTACAAATTGTCGCAGCGCAACATTATCTGTGATCAATTAGTCACGATTATCGGGATATATCGAATTCGATATCGTCCTTGAAACTGTCGCGATAATGACGCGATAATGACGCGATAATGACGCGATAATGACGCGTCCCGGGATCCCGGATTCTATTGATAATTTTCGTCGCTTTGACGAATTAATGCACCCGATAAGTCCATCGTCACGTAACAGCGAAGCGAGATTCCTTTACGACGAAGTCGCGACGACGCGGTGCTTCTGCGTCGCTGTAGTAACAGCTGTTTTCCGTAGCATAGTGGTCGAACGAGTCTCTCCCTCCCTCCCTCCCTCCCTCCCTCCCTCC